GGGCCCATGGCCGGAGCGGTTCCACTCCGCTAGCCGAGGTCTGCTGGCCCCGGCCTACCCCACCACGGGGCTGAGACCGACTTCCTAGTAGGGCCTCGGTGCAACTGTGGTCCGGTGAGGTGCAGGGATAACACGCCTGGAAATCATTTCGCTGTGAGACTTCTGGTAACAGCTATGTAGTTACCGGTTTGACAGCCGCAGCCGGGCTTGCTCCTCTTCAGGCGCATTGCTGTGCAACTGCAGCCTGCCTGGCACCAAGTTCCTGAAGTGCTTTTATGCCTTTTATCTAGGTCTGTTAGTATTTTGTCTTTTGGGGAGTGTAATACGTGCTTTAACATGCCTGAGAGCATCAGCCTTGTAGTATGGATAAAGAGCTCGGTGCGTTTTCAACAGGTGTGCATAGGATTGAACTCCAGGTGCTGTAGGTCCTCAGCTGGAGCTTGTTGCTGCAGGAATACTCTTTCTCTCACACACCACAATATCCCATGAAACCTGATGCAGTTCCTCTAATGTGTGTCCTCACCTCTGGTCAGTCAGCAGGCAACAGTAGTGTGAAGATGTGGTGTTCTGGCTTTGCAAACATTTGGTATTGCGACTGAGCTAGTAACAGACTATCTCTACCTACAGAAGGGTGTAACAAGGCTTCTTATTTCCTCTGGTAGATTGTTGCTGAATTTAGTGGAGATGGCAAAGTCAAGAGCAGAAGTGAAGAATGTTATCAGCTTGATGGCTCAATTGGAAACTCCAACAACCTCCACACTTGTGTTGTCTTGGGTATCTTCTGTCTTTTGGGACAGAAGGACCTGTATGGATGTTATCTGTGCCTGTGGAAGGGGATGTGAGAGAATGAATTTGGCAGAGCTGGTACAGCTTAATGTTGCTTGAGTGGTGATTAATGAGCAGTGTTGGGTTTGTTCTGTGTTGGGGACTGGTTGCATCAATCTCTTCTCAAATAGCCTCCTGATTATCTTAGTATGGCTCTTCTGCCACTCTTTTGCCTACAGTCACTTGTTCCTTAGCCTTATCTTCCAAAAGGTGTACTTAAGGTGCTTTTTGCTGTGATTTACATACTAACCTTTTCTAGTATATTTATTCTTTTCCTGCCTTCTGGCTTTCTCTTCTGCTCAGTCAGCAAACTCCCTGAATCGAGCAGAGGGTGGTGTTAGCTACCTGCTCTGAGTCCCGGCACAGTAGAGTTCTGATAATTATATTTAGTACATCAACACCTAGCTATTTAATAGTAACAGTCTCATGGGGCTGAGGGATGTCTTTAGCTAATGTCAACTTAATTGCTCTGCCCCAAAGCAAGAACAGCCTGTAAATGTTCAGGAGGTGTTTGTCTAGTTTATTCTTAGCAACCAAACCACTGCTGGTAATCTATCCCTGTACTTTTGGTCTTTTATTTTACGAGGATTTTTATGGTCTTTAACCAAAATCTTCCATGATGCAACTTAAGCCTGTTATGTCCTGTCATATTCACCATGGACACAAGGAACAGATAATTTCTGTCCTCCTCTCTGCAGCAACCATTTGTCTTTGAAGGCTGTTATCACATGTTCCCTACTGGCATCTCTACTTTAGTCCAGACAACCCTGATTTCATTTCACTCAGTCTTTTCATTTCACTTCTTAAGGCTCTGATCACTTTTATTGTTCTCCTCTGGATTCTGTTCAGCTGTGCTCTGTATTTTCCCAGGTGCATGTGCAGCTGACATCATGCTCCAGTGTAGGCTGGGGTGAAATCTCAGAGTAAATAAAGAAAAGTAAAGATGTAGGCAGTTAGGGCACAGTGCAGTTGGTAGGAATGAGGTTGAGAGTGTCTTGAATGTTCTGGAGTCAAGCATAACCTTTCTTGTCATGTCAATATTGCCCTGTTAACTGTGGGTCAACCTGCCAAAGTTGTGTTGGTAACTAGTACCTGATGTGGGGCTGATTATGACAAAGACCAAAATTCTGTGTTTTTTTATAGTTAAGGAATCCAATTAACAAGGAGGTCTGAAGAGAGAACAGTGAGTTTCACTTTCGTATGAATGTGCTTCTGCAAACTGTCCTGGATTTTATCCCCTTTAACTGTGAACATGCCTTTTTGCTTTCTAGGGGCAGCTTTAACCTGTTGTAGTGAGAAATGCTCCTACTTTTCCCCCTTATGATCCACTTAAATCCACTTATATTTCCTTGTATTTTGATTGTGTGGTGTTCAGGTCTTTCATTTGTCTTTAGCCCTGCATATTCTTGCCTGAGGGCTCTGGGTTGCCATTGTAGTCCAAATTGCTGCTGTTAGGTAAAATAGGTGCTTTTGCAGATATCTTAAAGGAATTGTTTATTATTGTTTATAATGGATGGGGCCTTTGTAGTCTTAATAAACTGAAGGGCGGGGGGGGGGGGGACAAAGG